CCATGTCAGAGAACACTTGTTCAAAAGGTTGATATGATATTATTTGACAACCAACTTGTAATCCATGATTAACAGGTAACCCACTGATAGTAAGTACTGATGATAAGTTACCAGGACCACCGGGATCTGTAGAGGATATGTTTCTTTGTTGTTTGATAAACTCTGTCAGTGGAGCACTTCCCACTATCCAATTCAGTTCATTGCCAGTTCCTTCACAAGTAAAACTTCCTGTCTCATAAATAGGAACAGTAACAGAAAAAGGACCAACTGTTATATCTAGAAGAACACACAGGGTCAGTTAGACTTACTGGCACTTCGATACCTACCAGCACCATATGTTCCCTTTGAGATCACTGTACATAGAGTTATTACAACCTTCAACAACAGCGAAGCTATCGTAGAGGCACCCATTGCTGATCAGATCTATAGGCGGAGCTTTAAAATCAAGTAGCCTCATCATCATAGATAATAGAGTAAATGAATTATATTTACTCTAATATCTATGCAAAGCAGTGGCGTAGCTAGCCTAAATGAAGAGTGAGGGCACAGTGGGGGAACTGCATAAAGCAATACTTATGAATACTCAATATACATGTAGCAAGCTCAGTTGAGTCAGTTGCAACTTGTATCTATAGTCTTCATTTTCTTGACTAGCTACAGGGGCACAAGAAGCAGTTGTAAGGGCATTTGCCCCCACAGGCCCTTATGTAGCTACACCACTGATGCAAAGAGTTACATTTGAAGCAACAACAGTTACAGCTTAAGTAAACTAAATATTATCAGTTAGATCTACCAGAAGATTATTCACTTTCTCATAGGTATTAATGGCAGAAAACACAAGTCCAGCTATCACTATGACTTGTGAGGTTTGTTCAGAGAATTACACTGACCCCCTCATGCTTCCTTGTCTTCACTCATTCTGTAAGAAGTGTCTAATAAAAGTTAAAGACTGAGAAGCAAGGTAGTGCTGATACCTCATTAAAGTGTCCAACGTGTGACACTAGCGTTAATTTACCTGATGGTAAAATTGAAGGCCTCACTCAAAACCTTTGGCTTGAACATAAATCAAAAGAGGCGTCAATAAAAAAGAAGATTGGCATCAAGGAAGCAGTATCATGTGATAAATGTAGTGTTGATGATTCCACTGATGCAGCTGTCATGTATTGCTGTGATTGTGGCCAATTTCTGTGCGATCTTTGCAAGAAAGTTCATAAACGAAGCAAGAAAGAAGCCAATCACAAGTTGATCAATTTAGAAACAAAGGAATCTATTGAATTGCCTGCTATTAAGCATGAGGCAATTTATTGCATTCATCATTCTGAAAAGCTGACATACTACTGCAAGGATTGCGATAAATTGGTTTGTCAGATTTGTCTTAACATTCACCATAAAAGTCACAATTACAATTATTACCTTCATGAGGGTGATACAGCATGTAAAGCATTAATGGAAAGTGTTGCTAGTTGTGATGGAGTCATTCTTCCGGTCACTGAAGCTATTGCTAATGGAGAGAAGATGCTAGAGCAGATAGCAACACGTAAAGAAGAAGTAAGGCAGGAAATCAAGGAAAAGTTTGAAGAGCTTAAAGCTGCTTTAGATAAGAGATGCAATGATCTACTATAATAGAAACAGAAGATATTGCTAGTGCTAAAATGAGTTCAGTCGAGAAGCAACTGAACGGGCTTCGTAAACTAGTAAAACAAATTTCTCATGGTCGTCATCTTGCATCATCAGTGAGTGAGCATACTGATCCAGGTGAAGTTCTCAGTGTTAAGAAGCTAATCACCAATCAACTAGAGGAATGCATTGAAGAGTATA